GTATGTACCATTTTCGTGGTGTCTTCCTTTATTACCATGGTTGTGCATTTAATGTTTTGGTTCAATTAACCTAACGCCATCTATTTACCAAAAAATAAATCAATTAAGTGGTATTATTCAGCCGAAGTCACACAGAACTTATGATATCAATAAAAATAGACTGTCCAACCGACTAAAAAGCTAATAATAATAATAATAATAATAAAAAAAAAAATTAATGGATATGTTATCATTATATAATGGAATGCATTATATAACGGAATGTATTAATGAAGTTTTTTATTTTTATTTTAAACTGAAATGAAATGTTTGTTTTTTGAAATGTAAAAAAATTTCGGTGTGCACACCACACCTGTAGATATTTGCAGAATAAGAGGTATACCAAACTTATGAATATGCAAAAAGAATATTGTTTATTTTTTATAGTGTGCAGCCTACTAAAACAAAATGGTTTTTTAAACTTACAAGAGTTCTTTCCCTAATTATTTTTTAACAATAGTTATCTATAATTTATAAAATAAATTAAATTGCAAATTTAAAACAGTATAAATAAAATCAATCAATTGATTCAAATTGTTTAAAAAAAATTGATTCAAATTGTTTAAAAAAAATATTATTTATGGAAAAATTCATGAAACCATCTATGACACAATTCAAACATATGATTCAGAAGTAATAAACACAAAAATATTATGCATCATCAGAATTTTTAAAACATATGAGAATTGAGTCACTTGAACAAGATTATTTGTTATTGTTTGCTAATCTATTGCGTACTTAAAAAGGGTTTGTCGATTAGAAAATTTGGTATTGAGTCGATTGAATAAGATTATGTCATTTTTTTTAACAACTGAATTTTATTCAAATAACATCTAACAACAAGTTAGAAAGAAAAAAAAAATACTAAACATTACAAATCAAGGGTATTGTAACCACATAGTCCAACTAATGTTAGTTCTAACATTCCTAATAGAAAAACAGTCAAATGAATGAAAAACAATATTTTCAAAAATACTATTCCTCTTCAGCTTAGACGATTGGAACACTATGTTATTATGGTAATTCCAAAGTATGCAAATAGCAGTGAAAACGATCACCTCCAAAATCTTCCTTTTCATAGTGTTCATACTAACCGTATCAACCCAAGGCAAGAGCTCAGCCATACTAATCAAATGAGGAAATGGAATATCAAGCTATTTTTCAATTTGTAACCATATCTGAGTTGCCACCTCGCAAAACCGAAACACATGATATGTGTATTTTTTTTTAAATCACAAGACGTGTACAACAAGGAAGGAATGTCAATACATTTCCCCCTCAAGTTCATCTTGGTAAGGATTATATTCAATAAAATACGCTTGGTAAGGATTATGTTCAATAAAATACGCTCGGGAAGGAATGACATATTATTATGTGGTTGTTTGATTAATGAAATTAGTCAAATCAATCAATTTTTTTTTATTTTTATTGTTGTAAATCTTTACCCGATAATAAGCAACAAGTACATGGTCTAATTTAACATTATTACATGTTTAACGGCTAAATCAAATTGAAATAAAAAACAAAAATGTATGGTTATTTCAGTCAAAACTTCAATTATATTGTATACAAACCTTGTTTTTTAATTATATTTTGTGTATAGCAAGAAGGGATCAAGTCAAGGACACATTATCGTTTAGACTATATAGGGCGTGTTTGGTAAAATTAGCTGGTAGCGGGTAGCTTGTAGCTTGTAGCGTTTTGTTAAACGCTAAATGAAGTAGCATTTGGATTTGGAGCGTTTTGTTTAAACTAAACGCTAGAAGCTTGTAGTGTCAAACAAGACTTTCTGTTCAAAACGGAGCGTTTTGTCAAACGCTAGAAGCTAGAAGCTCTCAAATGCTTCCAAAAGCTTGGTGCCGAACACGCCCATAGTCTATCCATATGGAAATAAAGAGTCAAACCTTAAACTCTATTATAATTATTATTGTTTTAAGAATGACAATTATTATTATTATTATTTTAAGAATTACATTTTTTTGTGCGGGATCAAGAGCATACCCACATTATTTGAATTTTTCAGTAGATAACCCACATTATTTTTATTTTTATTATTTTAAAATTTATATATTGCACATTATAAAGTTACAGATTAATTGTTGGGAACAAGGAATCAATATCTTAATTTTTCAGTACTATTTTTTAAAAATTACCGATCATTATTTTAAATTTAACAAACTTCATTTTAATCTATATTGGTTATCGAATGATTCATAAGCAACACAAAGCATATCTCCCTTCAAGTTCAAACACCACCATTCTAACATAAGCCAAAAAAAAAAACTTATTTAGAATTCATCAATGCCGAATACGATTCTAAACAGTGAAGAAAAAGAATAATTTCAACAAATAGGTTTTATAAACTTCTAGAGAGATTAGTTAAAGAAGCTTCGATCTCAACAAATAATCGATTTCTTCAGTAAATTCTAGCCCTAATCGAACAAATCACTGGTAAGTTTTAAGAATGGCGCCACAGAAAGTACACATAATAGCTTTCCACGATTTCCAGTAGAACGGAACATAGCAGAACCTGGTGGCGGTCTTCATATCTGCTACACTAGCTCCGCCGCCGCACCTTGAACAAAGCCCCGCCGCAGGCTTGCAGCGCCTCACCTGACGAGTTTGGTCAACCAAAAAGCAGAAGCACACCATTTCGTTTCGATCTTCTCCTTTTTTTTTTACTAAATTGAATGGATCTCCGGTGAAATGTCGAGAGTTATGCTTCCGACGCCGGTGACAATGGAGAGATGGAAGGATTTTGGAAGTAGTTGGGAGTGGAATATGTGGTGAAGAAGATTGCTTGCGCTGTTGGGTATATATAGACAGGGATCAGAGGTCGACAAATATAAATATGTGGGCGCCTTCGTAATTCTATTGGTTCAATATTTTAAGCACAGCGTATAACTCATGGTTAGGTCACAAATACCCAAAATATTGTTACTTCTTTACTCTATTTATTTTTTATTTTGCAATGATAAACTTTTGTTNATAAACAACATTTTATATATATATATATATATATATATATATATATATATATATATATAAAACTTATGAGGTTTATATGAATATTAAATAATAAAGAATCATGATTATGATATGTTTTTAACTGGTTTTACTCGTTAGGGATAATCTAAATCAATATTTATAAATGAATGGGTTGATTTTTTTACATCTAGATAAAATCAGTTTATGAAATACCTTGTAATGTTTACTAAAATGATAAATGCATAGATTTAGATTGAAATTCTATTTGAGTTTTCTTTTTTGTGTCACCTTTGTTTTTAGACCACGGAATGAAATTCTATTTCGGTTGCTTCGTCCAGGTGTCATTTCTAATAAGTGGATCGTCTATTCTTTGGTTGTGATTATGCTAAGATGATATATAATTGGTTGAGTGTGTGGTCCTCATTATTGGTGTTGATTCTTGAAAATGTGTTGGATTTTTTTATGGTTCTTAAAGCTCCTGTGTCAAACAAGGTGTTGTTTTTTAGATGCTCTCTTATGTACTCGGCGTTGTGGCTTGTTTGGAGAGCTAGAAATGAAGTTATTTTCAGGATCTCTACATTGAGTTCTTTAAAGACGCGGATGACATTCAATCTTTGGTTTTTAATTGGATCAAATATAGGTCTAATTTCAATGCTTTAGATTGGCCTCAATGGTATTGTTCATCTTTACTTAATTGTTTCTTGTAATTTTTTATTCAAGCATCTTGCTAGTTTTTTTTATGCCTTCCGCAACAGTTTAGGACAAAAAAATAAAAGTTTTTAAGTCAAAGCGAGTCAAATAAATTAAAAGTTATTTCAGGGTTATTGAAATACTCATGATATTTTCTATCGTATTGTCTAAAAATGATACTACTATTTTAATATTGTGTTTTGTAATCATATTTGATATTTTAATAACTAACAAAATAAAAAAAATAAAATCTTTGAGTTTATTATTGCCAAATTATAGTATTTTTTTTCTATAATTTCATGAAAACAAACTCATTTTTCTAGTAAAATCAAACTTGATAAACTCAAATTTTGACTAAACTTCTTGAAGTTTGAGCACTAACTCTAAGAAGTTGACTTTTGAAGATATGGTTTGTCATAAATATGACCGATTTAGAACTTAATTTCCATCTGTTTCGGATATGAAAAGTCAACCGATCATGAGCATACACGTGGCAGAAGCATGGGTGTATGATTTTAGCATTTACTTCACCAATTTATGTTCCTCTGTAATAATGGAATGGTAGTATGGGCCAATTCGGCTGTTAATTCCACCTCACCAGTCCATTCTCTCAGCCTCATAACCCCTCCTCCAACAAAAAACCAACACCTGTTTCTAAAAAAATTTAGTGATAAATATAACTTAATATTAAATTACACAGTTTAATAAAATATTTTCATGTCTTCGGTATCAAAAGTTGACCTTTTGGTTTCCAAAATGATCAAAATATATTTTCATATAATTCAGATACTTTTGGGTACAACTGATACTATTAAGTATCAACTCTGGAAGAGATAGTTTAACCAACAAATTTGCCTTAAATGAGGCAAATTTGTGAAAGAAATTGTAACCAAATTCATAATAAAAACTAAAACTTAGGAACAAATTTGTTTAAAAATTTGGCTAAATAAAAGAGGTAACTTGTAAACTTACTATGGCAGTTGTAACAACTTTTACATTAAAATGCAAAAAATAAGTTTTTTTTTGGTACACTGAAAATAATTGATTGGTCATACGCAACTTTATCGCATTCTATAAAAATAAAAATAAAAATCCTTTTAGCAATCCAACGGACAACAATGCTTAAGTTGGTCCACACTGTTCATCATCAGTTCATCATGTAAGACGTAAATCAGATATACATTTTATTGAGTTTTTATAACTCACAAATTTAGGTTTCATTTCCTATAAGGTTATATAGTTTTTTTATTTATAAGTCGGAAAGAAATAATCATATATAACTAACCAGATTAAAAAATCAAAAAATTAAAAAGAAAAAAACAATGCATTACTCATTTTCCTATGAGTTTCATGACACTCGAACATACAATTATATAAGCATTTGGTATCCCAATTGTGCAAAAAATATATTTAATAAAAAAAACTAGTTGCTAGCTGTAAAAGCCTGTGTTAACAGTGTCAGAATGCTGACATCATAGTCGATTTTGCTGCCTCGCGTTTCATCTCTGCAGCTTTCCCACTGCCCCGGAAATACATGTAAACTTGCTGCACATACAGATCAAACATCATGTGAAAACAAAAACAAAAATAAATATAAATATAAATAAATAAATGTTGGTATTTCTTGCTTTTAACCCTAAAAGAAAACATTTATATTTTAAAGGACCTGAATGACCCAAATGCTCATCACTGATTCAAGAGCAAAGAATGCAAATCCAATCAAGTAGAAGATCTGCAAGTAAAACAAGAAAATGGGTTATTAAAATAAATGTAAAATTATATAACTGATTCTAATTTTTTTTAATCATTTTTTAAATGAATAAAAAGGTGCTCTTGAAAAACTTACCCCAACAAAAGCATTAGATGTTAACACATCGAGAGCTGGTAAAATCCCACTGTAATGTAAGAAGTAAAAAACATAATTAAGAGCTTAATGCCAAATTCACTAATAAGGAATTATTGAAAGTATAATGTTGTAATATCAAGGAAGAAAAGAAAAATGTTTTAATTAAAAAAAAAAAAAAAAAAAGTAGGTTGCTATATCTTTAGTGAGAAAGCATGGAACTTACGTGAGAGATTTTCCCTTGAAAATAATAGGAGGGGCAACAGCAGCAAATACACAAAAGGCAATGTGAAACTGCATTAAAAAAATAATTTTAAATATATTAATTACGCATGAATATTTTCAAAACTGCAAAAATTATTTTTAGAAAGAAGGTTTACCATGTAAGCCAAGAAAAACCATCCAAACTTTAGAGCACTATCAGTTCTGTATAAGAAAAAGAAAATTAAAATTAATATATATATATATATATATATATATATATATATATATATATATATATATATATCCTTCATCCCAAAAGATAAAGACAAAA